TTTTTTTTAATCACAGTATTAGGGGCTGAACTTTGGGCTATGCTAAGCTACCCAGGTTGGACTCAAACTTGTGATTCTCCTGCCACAGCCTCCCAGAATGCTGCGATGGTAGGCAAGCACCATGAAGCCTGGCAGCTCTTAAGTCTTGATGGTCAACTGAGTACAAGCTTGTACAGCAAGATCACTCAGCCAATATCCTATTTTGTTGGTGGTCTTTTGTTTTTGTAGTATTGGGGGGTTGAACACAGGGCCTTTGCACTAAGCTACATCTCCAGCACTGCATTCTTTTTTTTAGTTCAAGACAGGTTCTTGCTAGGTCACTGTCACCCAGACTGGGCTAGAACTTATGATCCTGCTGATCCTGCTGCTTCAGCCTCCCAGAATGCTGCTGCACGTGTGCTGCCACCATGAACAGCTATCAGCTCTTTTCTTTGGGCAATATTAGAATGAGAAGCCAATTGTCATTTATGAGGACGGGGTTTTACACGGATGTGTAGGACCTCTGGCTTCCGAGGCCACTCTCCAGTGTCAACTACACCAGGAAAAGCACCCACTGAGGGCGGATGCTGTGGCAGTGTATTCACATGTCTAGTGCTCTAAGCTGTACTGCGCGCCACGCTGGGCACTGGAGTCACAAGTCACAGCCATTGTCATTCGGATTGCTGCTGCTACAAACTACTGGAATATGTGCTTGATTTTGTCCTGGGTCTGCCTTGGAACTGGCGGCGCTTTCGCAACTCGCGCTCTGCGTGGGTTTCTTTAAAGCATCCAGGTTTCAGGGTCAAGCACCGGGACACGGACTGGGAAGGAGCTGCCTGTCACCGCCGGACCTGCTTTATGTTTATCGTGTGTGCTCTAGCCGCACCCCTGTACCTGCGGTAGTGCTAGACTCAGGGGACTCTCAAATGTTGGATGAACCAAGGCTATAGGAAGAGAAGGACGAGGCGAACAGGGACCCGGGACTCGGTTCGGATCACCCGAGCTCTAAAGCAGTGACAGGGCCTCTGTAGCCGGGTTGCCCCGAGGCCGATGAGCCCGCCCTGGCCCCCTCTGGGCCTCAGTTTCCCTCCAATCCCCGGCGCCTCACCTGGGGCGGCAGGCGCGGAGGATCGGTGCCCGGAGCGTGCTGCACCGCGGCCTGCTGGGCCGCTTCCTGCAGCACTGTGGGCGGCGGCGGCGGCTGCACCCTAGTCACCTGCGCCAGCACCCGCCGCAGTTGCTCGGGACCCAGCGGGGCCACGTGTGCCGCGCTGCCGCGCCGGCCAGGGGGAGCCCGCCCGCCGCCGCGCTCGCTACCGCCCTCGGTCTCCGACTCCGCATCCGCCATGGCGGCCGAAGCGGGGACGTGAACCCAAATCGCAGGGCGACGGCGCTGCCAATATGCGTCACGTGGGAAAGGGGCGGGTTACGAGTGCCCGGCGGGCCAAGCTACCTCGGGAGGCGCCCGACCGCGCCCGGCCCTGCTCTCCGAAGATGTGGCCAGAGAAGTGGCTTGGCCTTGTTTTTTAATTTTCCCGTGTCACCATCTCCCAGAACTATTCCGGATTTCCCAGACGGAGGTCCTTGGGATTCCCAAGCCCCTGACCTAATGGATCACGCCGCTCACATGTTCTCCATGTCCCGAAAGATATTTGTGGATTCATGGCCCCGCCCCTGACGTAAACCTAGCCGATGGAACGAGGGAACCGAAGTTTAGAGCTGTTTTTGAGCTAGGGTCTTGCTCAGTTTCCCAGGCCAGCCTCAATTTTGTAATCCTCTTGGCTCAGCCTCCTAATAGGTGGGATTACAGGTGTGCACGATTGCTTTTTTCTCTAATTTTGAAAGCAAACCCCCTGGCCCTCCCATCCTCAGACGCCACAACCTCCCTTCCATCTCTTGGCCTCAGATCTCTCCACTCCCATCTGGCCCATGGTACCTTATCATCTCTGAGCCCATGGAGGGGAAAATACCTTTCCTTTATTTGAAGTCCTTCAAATGAAGTTGACTGAAGATGGAGTCACAAGAGAAAAGACACGATGTGCTTATGTATTTTTATTTATGTACAGAAAGAGTTACAGAAAAATGAGACTCGGGAGGTGGTTAGAATGTGGAGATACGACAGAACTGCTCCCCAACCCCTGGTACTGGGGATTGAACCCAGGAATGTTCAACCATTGAGCCACTTTCCCAGCCTTTCCTACTCTGAAACTCTGTCTTGCTCCACTGCCCAGGCTGGCCTAGAACTTGTGGTCCTGCCTCAGCCTCCTGAGTAGCTGGGGTTACACGTGGGCCTCACCATACCCTGCTATCATAGCCCGTCTTAGTAGAAGAGGCAGGGGCGGCAAGTGGACTGCAGAACAACGGAGAACTGATGACCTGGTGGCTGCCGCTGTGGAGCTGTGGAGCTGATCTCTCCGTCGTCCCGGGACAGAAGCTAATGTTCCTTGCTGCTCCCAGCAGAGATTTATGACTGAGTTCTGTTGACTCGTGCGGGAGGCGCTGCTTTTTGGCAGGTGTAGGACTTCAGGGGCATCTAATGCATTAAGCTCAAAGTAATGGCTGTGCCACTATGTAGCATTTCCTGGCTTGGAGGTACACTCAGAACCTGATCAAGTTCGGAAAAAGTGTGTGCTGAGGGCCACAGCTGTCCTGCTGCCCCAGCTGTGTCCGCGTGCACACGTCCCAGGGTGGGAGGCACAGGGACCCGGGTCTTGTGCTGGTGCAGCAGCCCTGGTCTCTTCTCAGGCGCAGTGTCTGACAACCGCAGGCTGCACCTGAGCGCCTACTTTTCCAAGGGCTGGAGCTGTGCTGGGTGGAGCTGCAACAGATTTAGGGCAAAGGAAAAGGAACAAAATTTCCGCAGCGACACCACGACCCCAGCCCAGGGATGCTGATGCAAAGCGACTTGGACCTTAGGAAGTGGCTTCAGTGAGACTCCTGTCCTCCTGGGTCTGGACCTGCAGCCGGACTCAGCCACCACACAACCAAGAGGACCAAGGGTGAAGCCTGAGACCACTCTGAAAGGAAAGGAACAGAAGAAAAAGGCAGAGGCTTCCCGACACGTGGGCAGCCAGAGGCCTTACTCCACACAAACAGCCACACACCTGTCACTGAAGCACTCTGGGAGGCTGAGGTAGGAAAACTGCCAAGTTACAGCCCAGCCTTGCTGGATGATTAGCGATTTAGCAAAAACCCTGTCTCGTAATTTAAAAAATTAGAAAAAAATTAAATTAAGCCAGGCATGGTAGCACCTGCCTGTAACGCCAGCACTCAGGGGCCTGAGAAGAGGGTCCCTGCCAGTTCTAGACCAGCCTGGGCTTCACTGTGAGACCCTATCACAAAACAAACAACAAAACCCAAAAAATAATATAAAATGAAATAAAATGTTAAAGGGCTGGAGATGTAGCCCACTAAGAAATCCCCCAGTTCACTTCCCAGCACTGGTGCTTGGAGGGAGGAGCTGGGATAGGGGCCCACGCCTGTCTGGGAGGCCAGGCAGGAGAATCGCGAATTCGAGCCCGACTGCGCGACTCAGCACACATGCCAGCCCTGGCTGCCCCCACCGAGGGAGGATTCGGCCAACACTCACGTCACCGCGACTGGGACCCCAGGTGGCGTCCTTGGAGAGACCTGATGCTTCTGCTGAGTAGCACCGCCCGCCCAGTTGCACCTGGGGGAGCATCGAGGCTTCCCCTGCGACCCGAGAGGTCCGGTGGCGGACTGCGAGGGGAAAGCGCCTCCCTCTGGGTCCCCCCGGCGTCGGCGTGACTTTCTAGCCAAGTGCAGTTTCATCCGCGCGCCGCTGGTGGCCCTAAAGACGAGTTTATTTTATTTTTTCTTAAGTTGCAAAATGAAGTTTTGAGAAAAACACTGGAGCCTGGCCCGTACGGGGATCGAACCCGCGACCTTGGCGTTATTAGCACCACACTCTAACCAACTGAGCTAACCGGCCGCTGGGGGCGCAGGCCGCGAGATCGCCTGTAGGTGCTCCTGCGGCGCCGGGACGTCGGCGCAGGCGCGAGGCCGGCTACGGGAGACGCCGTCCGCCCCGCGATCTGTGTCCCGCCCCGGCTTCTTGGGCCCGGTCCACCTACAGCGGGCGGAAGGCCTCATGTGGGGCCGCGGGCCTGTTTCGCCTGCTCGCTTTCTTTTCTGTTTTTCTCAGATATTTGATATAGGATCTGGATATGCAGGTTAGGCTGGCCTTGACCACCACTGTGCAGCCCAGGCTGGCCTCGAACTCGCGGCGAGCCTCCTGCCTCAGCCTCCCGCGCTGTGCTGAGTGTGCCTGCCCCGTGCTGGGAGGCTTTGAAAGCCGGCCACCTCTGCCTCGGTCTCAAACAAGGCTGGATCGTGGAGGCTGAGGCAGTGAAGTCCTCCCTGCTGAGAGCTGTGTGTAGCCCGATGCCCAGAGCCTGAGGAGGGGGCACAGCACATGCCCAGTACGTTGGAGTCAAGCGGATGTTAAGGGAATCCGAACATTATCCCACACTGCATGTTGCAGACTGAGGGGCTTAAACACTGTTGCTCAGGCTGGCCTTACACTTGTGGGCACCAGCCGTGCTCTTGCTCAGCCTCTGCCTAGCTGAGGCTTCAGGCCCAGGTGCAGCACGCTCAAATCTCAGAGATGAAAAAAATAATGTCTTTAAGTTTGAGACAGGGTCTTGTGTTTGAGCTCAGAATTTAGGATCCTCCTGCTTCAGCCTCCTGAGCGCTAGGATTACATCCTGCTGTGTCTTGCTCATGCAGTCCATGACGTGGCATGAGGTAGAAGGGTTCAGCTGGGCTGGGGGTGCGCCTTGGCTGGTTCAGTTTACAAAGCGAGATAGTGTCCTTGACATCCCTCAGTCAGTCTCTCTCTCTCTCCCTCTCTCTCTCTCTCTCTCTCTCTCTCTCTCTTTCTCTCTCTCTCTCTCTCTCTTTCTCTCTCTCTCTCTCAACTGGATTTCACACAAACAACGTAGCATCTTTGTTTTTCTCTAATTGCCCGTTATAGCCTGGAAATTTGGATCTTCCTTTCTCAGCCTCCCAGAGGGCTGTGCCCCAGCCCAGCTCAAAGCCGTCTAAGGGGCCTATGCAGTACTTGGAACAGACTCAGACGGAAGCCGTAATTGGATTGTGTCTGGCAACCCGGGCCCAGAGGGTGATGGGAGGAAGGGGACCTGCGCCCCACCACCCCTGGGTCTGTCACAGTTTCTCCAAATCTCTGGGCCCCTTACCCACCTGTCCCACATGCCCCCTTGTACTCCTGCCCCAGCCTCCCAAGTGCTGGGATGACAGGTGTGTGCCACAATGCCCATCTCCCTAATATATTTTATTTTATTTTTTACTGGGAACGGAAGCCAGGGCCTTTGCACTGAGCTCAACCCCCAATCCCCTTCTTATTTTTTTTATTTTTGAGGCAAAGTCTTAAGTCACTATGACACTCAGGCTGGACTGAAACTTTCCACCCTCCTGCCTCAGCCTCCCAGGCAAGGACTTGGCCAGCCTCACATTTCTGGGTCTAGGCTGACCCCCGGCTCAGGCTAAGTGGCACATCCTCCTACACAAGCATGCTAATTTTCACTCTTGTGTTACGAAGCATTATCAGAGTTAAGTGGTAAGAATCACAAATCATTGGCTTGACAAGTGGAGCTGGGCATGGTGGCACATGCCCAGACACTTAGGAGGCTGAAGCAGGAGGATTGGAAGCGCAACCCAACCTGAACAATTTAGCTAGACTCTGTCTCAAAATACAAAGCAGTAAAAAAGAAAGAAAGAAAGAAAGAAAGAAAGAAAGAAAGAAAGAAAGAAAGAAAGAAAGAAAGCAGTACAAGCATGACGGTGTGCAGGACGTAGCTTGGTGGGAGATCCTGGGGTCAATTCTCAGTACTAAAAACAAAGCAGAAATGCTTCTCTGGCAGTTATGGGGTGGAGATGCCCCAGTGATGCCAGGCAGGACCTAGGGCTGGGAAAAGATTCCATCTGGCCTTTCCCACCACCTGCAGGTGCTGGGTCCTTCCTTCTGTGCCAACAGAAGACTGTGACCCCACCTGTGTCCCCTCCTTCTCTCAGCCTCTGGCTGTCACCATGTCCAAAGTTCCCCCTTTTGAAAAAGATACCAGTCCTCCTGGTCCTAGTGGCCTGTTTTGACTTAGTTACCTCTGCATACACCAGGATTCTCATTCAGGGCATGATGACCAAATACCTGCGAAACCAGCCTAGGGGGAAGGACCCAGGCTTGTGGTGGGGAGATTCAGTCCACGGCCACCAGGCTGCAGGGCTTTAAGCCTGGGCAGGCACAAAGACCACGGAGGGAATGCATGGAGGGAGCAGAGGCGCAGCGAGGGGGGGCAGGGGCCAGATGTGGTCCCCAAGGTC